AGGTTTGAAATGAGAATGAAATAGTTATGGGAATACCGGACAGTGCGTAGAGTCTTTTGTGCTCATAAATTTGAGCTTGTGTGTATTTTCCTCTGGCAAGATTCAGCTGCCCCTGTTGCTAGCACAGAATAAATGGAAAGTTGAGTTTAACTAGAACTAGGATTTTGCCAACTGAGCTTTTTAGAGCAAGAGGAGAATAGAGGAGGTAGAGGTATGTAAGATAGTGATTATGGTGATGAACAGTGAAGTCTAACCTAGGAAAGGAAGATACGAAGGTGTGGAAGGGGTTGATAAATGTTAGGAAAGTGGTAGGGCCAATGGACTAGATATTCCAGTGGAGCTAAGGAGTTCCATGAGCATTCTGGAGCAGTTGAGCCAAAAACAGAAGATGGTCATCCAAGAGTCTGTCTATACCAAGGATTAACCACTCTTTTTGTGGATTCCTCCTACATTTACTCTTTCTTCTCTTTCCCTTTCCCTTATGAAAATGGAGAAGTCATTATCATAGAAATTGCTCTCAGATCTGGTTCTGTAGCCCTGACCTCTTTGCTGAACCTCAGTTCTGCAATTCTAATGCCTGCAAGCATTGCCTACCAGCATTGCATACTATTAATGATTCTGTGTAAATTCCTTTCAACAATTCTCTCAAATTCACTTATTCGGGACTGCCATTCTTCCTTCTTCAGACTCTCCTCTGACTTTTTTCCTCTCCTTGCCTTCAATTTTAATCATTATTAAATAAGGTAGCTTATAAAATATTTATCAGATCCTCTTGATTTCCACTGTCAAGACTTAAAGAATCTTGTTAATAGTCACCAAAATGGTATCCCTTTTTTAATGTTTTTTCTCTAATACCCGGTTAATTTTCAAAATTATATTTCTAATGGGCCACAGCCCTTCTCAAAAAACTTTTAACAGCTTTTCATTTCTCTTCGAATAATGTCCAAACCCTTCAGCATAGGCTCTAGCCGTCTTTCCCATTCTCATTTCCTCATCACCTCCTCTTGGAGTCTTTCCAGAGCTCACTGAATTTGTCGGGTCATCCAGCGCTCTTTCAGCTACTTATCTTTCACTTGCATTTCTCTCTTCTTAGAATCTCTTCCCCTGGATGTTAAAATCCTTTAGGCACAAATTTAAATACCCTCTGCTCTGTGAACATTTTACCCAATCCCTGCTGTTGAAAGTAATCTCTCCTTCCTCCAGACTTGCAAAATAACTCTCTATATACCTGTTAATCATAAAAATAATTTTCATTTTTATGTGCAGGTTTCAAACTGCTTTTACATATAGTTTACTTTATACCTTACAAGAAGACAAGGTTTTCTTTAGCACCATTTTAAAGATGTGTAAACTGGGAATGAGCAAGTTATTTAAAGTGCATATACATGTTACTGTCACCCTTGCCTTTGAATAATTTATATGCTTATTTTTCTTATTTGTTTCCAGACTTTGTCCTTCAAAGCACTGAGTCAAGGTTTTGTACTAACAGGCAGTCTTGTTTGTTGATTGAATACATGAAAGACTAGTTTCATGAAAGGAAAAATGGTTTTCATAATTACTATTTGAGGAGATGTGTTATTAAGTAACCTTGGTGCATGTTAATAGTCTTTTTTATATTGTGGCTTTTGTTAAGTCTGGTGGTAAGAAAAAGAAAATCACCAAAGCTGAGCGATTGAAGCAGCTACAAGAGGAGGAGGAGAGAAGGCTGAAAGAGGAAGGTACAAAATAAACATTGATACTATTTCATATACAGACAATACTAACAATAGGTTAGTATTTCTATAATCCAGTCAATTTTTTCCAAAACTCTTTAATTTTAAAATTTAATTTGTTTTATAATAAATACCTACCATTTAGAGGGTACCCGGAAAGATCTGTTAGTACACATCAATCACTTTCAGATATATCTTGAAGTGGGGTTGCCAGATAAAATACAGGAGCCCAATAAATTTGAATTTCAGATAATCAGTGGCTAATTTGCGATAATTTGCCCCGTGCAATATTTGGGACATACTTAAAAAAGTTCGTTGTTTATCTGAAATTCAAATTCAACTGAGCATCCTGTGTTTTTATTTGCTAGTTCTTGCAACCCTATCCTAAAGTGTTTATATTTACTGATCAAATTAGAGGCATTGGTGCTGATTGTGCAATAGGAATTCTGAAACTCAGATTCATTAGGTATGGGAAATATTCTCTAGCAAGAAATACAGCAGCCTAAGTTCTTACCATTTAATAATATTTTATTTGCCAAATTAAAAATGCCACTTTCATTTGTAAAATACCAATTAAACATTGATAAAAGTGTTGGTTAATTAAAATACCAAAAAGTGATTTTAAAAATTTGAATATTCCAAGTGTATGTAGCTTTTAGCATTAAGAACATCTGTAGATTCAGAGTCAGGTTTTTAAAAGACTATCCTCAGGTTCCATGTTGATTTTTTACGTGTAATCTTATAAATCCTTTTTAGGTGACTCCCGATAAGAATATAATATCAGGATCTATATCATGGGGAATGTTTTGTTTTTGTTTTTGTTTTTTTCTTTCAGCAAATTATGGGTGTACAGATGTTTAGGTTACGTGTGTTGCCCTTGGTTCCCCCGCCCCAAATCTGTGTTTCAAATATATCCATCCTTCGGGG